TGAGAATGCAACAAAATACAAATACACTTATATTTTTTGAGATTCACTAGCACTGATCTCGTTTAAGAATGGAAACTGAGTAAAAAGGATGATGCTAATGGATATGAAAACAAAACTAAGTTCTGTATGAGTATGTGATTCTTGAAGGCCGAGAGGTAAAACGAGGAACCGGTTAAAGATTCTTCATGTTGCAGAAATTTACTTGTACCAACCAGCAAGAAAATGTCGAAGCAGGAAGCAGAAGGCACAAGCTAATGCCTGCCAAAAAAACCAAATTTGTAATCTCTGCGACATGCTAACTTGTATTTAGAAGATTAAATAAAGCTTACCTGGAAAACAAGAAGATGAATACAAAGAGACTTCTCTGACTTCCTACCAAAAATCCTCAAGTAGACGTTGACGAGCGTCCCATCTTTTGTTCCAGTTAGTAACCCCGTTGCAGGATCAAACCTGTTTCAATAGAGAGAGGAAGATTCATGTGTTGTCTCAGCTCTGCTTTTTATGTAACATGGGGAAAATGAGCTTACTTGGGGAGACGATGCCGTGGACATTTCACAATGCCAGCAAGCTAAAGAGTTACACAAATAACTAGTTAGATCCTTGATAACAAAGTGAAAAGTAAAAGAAAATGTGAGAGGGAGAAAGGAGATGAAACCTGCGGAAGCGACAATAGAAAGTTCAACACTTGAGGAAGAAAAAAGATTAGGAGGGTTTCACTGCAAAGGTTAGTTAGTTAGTTGCAGGCTTCACACTTTAGTTAGATGCAAAACCGCAAATGATGAAACTGCGAGCATGTTTATTGTAAGTCTCTTAGGTTGGGTCTCTTATCGTAATAAAAGATACAGTCTCTTAGCATATCTTAGTTTTTTCAGTAAAAAGCTACAAGACTGCATTTTATATTACGCTAAGAGACCCAACCTAAGAGACCTGCAATAAACATGCTCTGAGAAGATGGAAACAAGGTCTGTACCTGAAGTGACCAAGAATGCCAACAACTGCCATAGTCATTCCTGCAAAGACTGTGTAAGTGTCTCCAACAAAAACTGCAGAAGGGTACCTAACAACATGAATGTGGTTAGAGTAAGCAATTAGCTTTTTAACATTCAAGACTTCAGAGGAAGTCAAAAGTATTCCAGAGAAAAGACTTGAAAGTATTACCAGTTGAAAGCAAGCATTGCCAAGGATGTTGCCATCAATGGCTGAGTGAGATATATAGAGAAGGCATGAGCTTGACGAATCTCAGAATCCACAGATGCTCCGATTTGCATAACGTTGTGTATCAAGATCTACAAGTAACTGAGATGCATCATATCTTTACTTAAGAGAAACCAAAGAATGTAGAATTCTAACACATTTTGATTGCAGAACTTACAGCAGCTGCAATAACAACAGTTTGACCGATCTCAAGGCCATTCAGACCAGCGTGAATGTTTATAGAATTAGTGCAAAAGACAGCCAGTAGCGCCATATATAGCTTATATATCCGTCCTGCCACGATAAATATACAATTAAGGAAATTAATCTGAAGATAGTTGCTTCACAATATGTAACAAGAAGAAGTGTACCTAGGTCAAGTATCTCCAAGCCAACATAAGAAACTAGAGGTTTTGGTATAACGATAGTTGTATGTCCAGCATAAGCCATCAGCAGTGGAAGGGTCGCAAAAGATGGCAGTAGAAGCTTTCTGCATATTTTGACAATAAGTAATATGTGAACTTAGCTCACGCATGAACTTAATCAAACAATATAAGAAGTGCACCTACACTCTCCAAGGCACATCAAGGACGTCATCTACAAACCCAAGCAAAATCATGAAGCAAATAGATGCCAGTGCTGCATTGTACTCCACAAGCCACTGCAGCATAGAGTAATTCAGCTAGATTTTTATAAAATATCTTCAAAGCACTAAATGAGCCAAAATCTTACCAAGGAATCTTCAGTGAAGTTAAAGAACTGAAATATTATCGCCACAATCAAGAAGACAATACCCACAACGATTCCCAACGACTCAGGCCTACAAAAAGATGAACAAAAAGTGAGAAATGGTGAAACTCAACACGCACACCAATACTCTTTAATCCCACCACACAAACCAGAACTCAAATTTCACATAGATCAAATCAATCCCTAAACTGCGATAGACCATCCATTTCAACCCCAAACAAAATCAAATCTAAAGAGACATCCAGTTCAAGAAAAGAAATGAACACTAATTCTAACTTTAAACCTAAAAGTTGTAAGAACTTACAGTTTCACTTCTCCTGAGATGTCCCAGACATCAAATCAAATCCCAAGCTTCGATAGAACATTCATTTCTACCCCAACCAAAATCAAATCTCAAGAGACATTCACTTCAAGAAAAACGATGAACACTAATACTAACTTCAAACCTAAAAGAGGTAAGAAGTTACCCTTTAACTTCTCCTGAGATGTCCCAGAGATCAATAAAATCCTAAACTTGGATAAAACATTCATTTCAACCCCAATTCAAAATCAAATCTACGAGACATCCATTTCAAGAATAACAATAAACACTAAATACACTTAACTTGAAACCTAAACACAACTAAAGGAGACGAATTTAAAAGACTTTCACTTTAACTTCTCCTGAGATGTTCTAGAGATCAAATTTATCCCTAAACTTCGATAGAACATTCATTTCTACCCCAAACACAATCAAATCTAAAGAGACATCCAGTTCAAGAAAAAACGATTAAACACTAAATATACAAACTTGAAACCTAAACAACAACTAAAGAAGACAAGTCTAAAGGGGTGAAAGACTTACACTTTAACCTCTCTGAGATCAAATCAGTCCTAAAATTCCATAACACATTCATAATCAAATCTAAGAGACATCCATTTCAAAAAAACGATGAACACTATTACCAACTCGAAACCTGAACACCACTAAAGGAGACAAATTTAAAGAGGTAAAAGACTTGCACTTTAACTTCTCCTGAGATGTCCTAAAAGATCAAATCAGTCCCAAACTTCAATACAACATCCATTTCTAACCCAAAACAAAAAAAATCAAATCCAAGAGACACCCACTAAAAATACAAACTTGAAACCTAAACACAACAGAGCATCTCCAACCCCACTCCATAATTTACTCCAAAATGGAGTGGGGAATGGAGTGATGAAGAAACAAAAAATTGATTACTCCAAATATGGAGTAATGTGATTTTTGTTTCTTCATCACTCCATTCTCCACTCCATTTTGCAGTAAAATATGGAGTGGGGTTGGAGATGCTTACAAGTCTAAATAGGTAAAAGACTTACACTTTTACATCTCCTGAGATGTTCCAAACATCAAATCAAATCCTAAACTTCGATAGAACATCCTCTTCAACCCCAAACAAAATCAAATCTAAGAGACATCCATTTCAAGAAAAAACAACTGAACACTTATTAAAGACACAAACTTTGAAACCTAAACACAACTAAAAGGACACAAATTCAAAAAAGACTTACACTTTAACTTCACCCTGAGGAGTGCCTCTCTTATTAATATCAAACCCAAACATGTTCCGCCTCAGAACATATCTCGCAGCCACCGGAATCAACTTGAGCGTAACGAAGAACCCCACAAGGCTAAGCCCCGCGTTGATTAAGATCGGACGCTTCAGCTCGTCATCGACATTGTAGTGGAAACAGAGAAGGTAAAGGTAGAGAGAACAGAGGAGCGAAGAGATCACGAAGATCACGCTCAGTTTCGGCGGCGCGAGACGGAAGTCTTCAGGGGAAGAGACGGTGGTGGGTCTATTCTCCGTGATCGCCGGCGGTGGATTCTCTGAGTTAGTCACTGAAGAAGTTCTCCTACGAGCTGCCATGGCGGATCCGTTGGCTTCTCCTCTCCTTCGCTTTGCCAAAGTCTGTAGCTTTTCACAAGCTCAAGCTGGACTTGCCGATACGACAGCGTATTGAGTGTTGTAAAGAAAGATGAAATCTCTATATTATTATTGCTTATAAGGTTCCTGGTTACAAGAATAAGATAAATGGAAAACATCTAAGCAACAACGGATTGAAAATACATAAGAATAACAATACTATATGGCCGTCTATAATTAATGGGTCTTCGACCATTGGACCACTTCTAAATCTAACTAAGGGTTGTGGCTCATCCACATAATTATTCATAACATTGAGAGTATAAAGAAAGTTTTTCAATTTCGACCCACAAGAAATCAGAATTGTTAAAAGGCCCTAACGTTACGACACTACTGTAGTTAGGCTTGGGTGTTTAGCCATGTGGGATTCGGTTTGGTTGATTCGCATTTTCGATACTACGCTCATAAGTCTTATTTTTACTAATTATCGAGTCGAGTTCAGTTTGATTCTTTCTGCCTTCGGGTCGGATTATAACCATTGTTTAAAATTGTAAAAATAAATATTTTAAAAAACTAAAAAATAAACAAAACATACTCAAAGTATATATAAATTATTCATAATAAAAGCAAGTTAAACTAGCCTAACTAAAAACTATTAAAAAAAAAATTATATTTCTTTTAAAATACTCTAAAATATCTAAATTATTATAATATATATAACAATAGTAACATATTTTACTAGTTTTGGATATAATGATCTAAGTTTGGATCTCGGTTTGGTTCAGATTGTACCCAAACTCTTAAATACCAAACTCTCAAGTCTCCAATATTTTTTTTATAAGGGTTTGGATCCGATTTTGGTTTCTCCGGTTTAGGTGATGGTATGGAGTTCAGTTTGGGGTACAACACCCAGCCTTAGTTAGAGTATAAGAAAGTTTTCATTTTCATCCCACAAGAAATCATAATTATTAAAAAAGCCCCGTATATTTTTATTGTTCTTTTTCCACACCAAAAGTTTAGCTTATGTTTTAGTTTTACTGATAAACGTTTTCATCTGGGCGTGAGAGCAGGAGCAACAACATCAATCTATATGGATCAAAACATCAGCTCAGTAACTCAGAGCCCATAAGACACAAGCTGTGTCAGTAAAAAAACAGAGAAAGAGTTGGATCATAAAGGGCGATGACTTTGTATTTAAAGTAATAGAATCAAGTGTTTCTGCATATTACATAGAATAGAAGCCTGCTAACATTCTATTTCCTCCTCTATTCATCTGTGTGTATAACCTATAGGAAACAATTTTCCGAAATGTACACCAGAGCTCATGTTCAAAACCTGTTAAAATCATTCTGAAAAATTCCCACTTTACTATTCTGATTGTTGTTCTATATGAGTTGCTTCCAAGCCTGGAGGTGATTGTGGTGGTACGGCTGATGCTTGAGTGTCAAGATCAAGATGGGCTTCCAACACTCTCCTCCTACCAGTCATCATCTGAGATGATTCTTGGTTTGTGCTTATTGTTGAAGAGTTGTTCAGAGACATGTGAGCTGAGGATACCACTGAGCTGAACACACCTGCCTCTCTTAACTCTTGAATTATAACCTGTGATAAAAAGAGTTTATTGCAAACCAAGCATAGATCGATCATGGAACATGGAGAACAAGGTTTTGGTCTGTGGTTACTAACCATGGGGGCATAAATGCGAGTTAAAATTCCCTTTCTAAGGAGTTTCAACTTCAATTGTTGGTCTGTCCACACAACGTGCTCTCTGTACCTGTATTAAGTTAAGCTTGTTAGAATGGTCAAAAGTAGTGACTGTATTTGAGTCAAACATTGATACCATTGAAGCATTTCCTCTGAACTTGCTGTTGAAGCAATGATAAATGCCTGCATAAAATTGATGATCAAGAGCTGACACTTGTATGCTTCAGAACAGTAAGCAAGAAACATAAAGAAAATGAATATTAATTCCCACTCACAGCTCTGTCAAACTCCAACATGAAACACCTCTTAACATCCACCTTAGTGGGCTTGCAACCACAACGATCACGTCTTGAAGTAAGATCTGAAAATTTGGGATAAGTGTAGTGCAATATTGCCGCTTCTTCTAGTTTGATCTCCCTGTCAAAAATGATGCCATAAAATAGTCAGCACTCCAAACAATTGGAATCAACAGTCTCAGACACGTCCATTGTTCAGGAAACAAAACGCATGCAAAGGAAGCTTCTATTGAATAAACAGCTCTAGAATGATAGAACAAGTGGTCTAAGCCAACGAGAGAAGACCATACTTTGGACTCTTCCTGTAGTTGTGCCATCTATGAGCACCATTGGGACGAAGATGGTCCTGAACACGAGCAGCAGCTTTTCCATTTCCATATGTTAAGAAGTAGTTTGGGTTTCCACGAGTGGCCTCTTTATAGTTTCCAAAGTAAACATCCCTCGGAAGATGGTCATAATTTTTCTTGAACATTGATACCTACAATAAAAATGGTAATCGGTTTCTTATGAATGCATAATATCTTTAGATGGTTACTAAGAGGCAAGTAGACACAGAAGATGATTATTTTCGGTACCTCACTGAAAGGCTCTTTGATATCATCTCGCTCAACGCTGCTCTCCTGAAACAAGAAGAAAATGCTGATGAAACCAGATACAAGAAGGATGTATAAGCTCCTGTAAGACTCACATAGTTTGGAAAGATAACTGCATCCACGTCTGCAGAGATGTTTCCAAGCAATTTCCTTAAAGAATATTCATAGGTTCCAGAAGGGTGTATAAGCTCGTCGGTGTCAAGATGAATTATCCACTCCATACCAGAATCCTAAAACACACCGCATAACATATATATTACCACATGCCGTAGTTCAACTTATATGGGCAAAATGTAATAGATACCTGAGCCATGGTGATTGCCATCTCCATGTTCAAAGACTGTTTCACGAATAATTCATAGTTGCAAGGTTTGTAAAAGAAGCTCGCCAACCAAGTCTCATTCCATATCCGGCTGTAAACAAAAAGGAAACGAAATAAGGTAAAGAAGTCCCAACAGAGACATATTAATCACAATGCAAGCACATCATATCCATTACTAATCTTTTCTAACCATAAAGGATTGATGCTAAGATTCTAAACCACTCCAACTCAAAAAGTCAGAACTTCTCTACACTAAAAAAAAAACTTATTTTCTACCAATTAACCAAGGAAAAAAAGCCACAGATAACCACAAAGGCTCACACAATAAGTACCTTTTAGCCTGCTGCTCTTCTAACTCTTTTGTCCTGTGTATAACTTTTACACCCTGCAAAAGAAACCGCACTAGTCATAAGAGTACTATTGGTTTACAAGTTTACAACAAAAAAGAAAACAAAAGCAAAGGATCAGGGGAAAGAGCTCTAGATAAAGCTTACTGGTATGCTCTCCAGAACTCGAGACACGTTTGGAGAAGCAGCCTTCCCTTCAACAAACAAATAAAACGTCGAAACTCCAATAACTTTGTGATAGAAAAGCCACGGTAACGTTTGCTCCAACCCAGCAGAAGTGCTTGTCGTAATACAAATCTACCATAACCAAAAACTCTCATAAAAGTCACACTCTTTAAATCCAATTCATCAAACCCATAATAAAAAAAATCACAACTTTATAATCAGATCATACCCAATTCAACATCAAATCATGAAACCCAGAATAAAATAAAATCACAACTTCATAATCAGAACATACCCAATCCAAAATGAAATCATGAAACCCAGAATGATAAAAATCACAACTTTATATCAAATCATACTCAATCCAACATCAAATCATGAAACCCAGATTATAAAAATCAAAACTTTATAATCAGAACATACCCAACTCAACATGAAATCATGAAACTCAGAATAATAAAAATCACAACTTTATATCAGAACATACCCAATCCAGAATAAATCATGAAACCCATAATAATAAAAATCAAAACTTAATAATCAGAACATACCCAATCCAAAATGAAATCATGAAACCCAGATTATAAAAATCCAAACTTTATATCAGAACATACCCAATTCAACATCTAATCATAAAACCCATAATAATAAAAATCACAACTTTATAATCAGATCACACCCAATTCACCATCAAATCATGAAACCCAGAATAATAAAAATCACAACTTTATATCAGATCATACCCAATTCAACATCAAATTATTGAAACCCATCACTAACCTTAGGGTTCAGATCCGATTGGTAATCGAAACTCCAATCCCTGAAATAAGGAAACGAAGGAGCACGGCTCTGACCCAGAAGATCAACGCAACCCGAATCAGGATTCGAGCCACGCAAGGAGCGTTGTTGTTGTTTCTCGTGGGTTGAGGACATTCCAGGGAACTCGTGATGATCCGTGGACCAGTGGGTAACCGGGTCGTCGAGTCCTCCGCGCCATTGGAGGATAAAGGCGAAACAGGCGAGGGAGAGAGGGAGGAGGGTTACGAGTAATAGAAGACGCGAGTAAGAGGATGATGCTGATGATGGTGATGTTGAGGAAGAGTAGAACAGACCCGCCATGGGAGAATGCAGGAGATGTAAGACTATGAATCCATAGAGAGGAGATGTGTGTGTGTAATATAGAGATGGTGAAGGAGGGAGACGAAGTTGAAACTGAAAAAAAAAAGAGTTTGAAAGGAAAATTTTGAGACGGAGCCGTTTTGACACTTGGCCTTTCTTCTTATAAGAAGAAAATAATTTTATTCCTATTTTCTTTTTTATTCACATGGAAGAATATAAATTAAATCATATTGAGAAGTTGACAAAAAATATTTCATATTGAGAAATTCCAAATAAACATAATTTACTTTCACAATAAAGAAATTTTATGAAAAAAATTACAAAAAATAAAAGTTAAATTTAAATTTTTTTCAAAATAAATAAATTATTTTGATCATTTTATAATTTTAAAGTTATTTTTCTGACAAAACTCTGAGAGAATTATCCTATCATATTTACATTTGAAAATAAATAATATGATGGTATAGCTTAATTTTATTATTTTATATTAAGATGAAACTCAAGTTAGAGTTATTAAAAATTATATATTTTGCTATATATGATTTTTAAAAAGAAACGAGAAAAAGTTACTGAAATTCTTTTTAAAAATTATATAAATTCACAAAAATAACAATCAAAGAAAAAATGATCAAAATTTATTTTATTAAAAAATAAAGATGCATTAATATCCTATGGTTAACTAATCTAGATTAGAATTTAGAGTAAAGCTGTGAGATTTTGGAGATATGATTCCAATTTTTTTTTAAAAATAAATATTACAATTTTCCAAAAAAAAATATATATTTTTGGTTATTTGATTTTATTTAGAGTTATCTTTATGACAATTTTTTTTTTGAAAAAGACTATTTGAAAGAATATTCTTTATACAAACAAAAACACAAAAATATATTTAGTAATCACTGATTTTTATGAGATGTTTCCTAAATTTTCCAGTTTGTTAAATTAATATTTTAAAAACAAATTTGATTTCAGTAAATATCAGATTACATATGTCAAACTATTGCAAAACCTACTTAGGAAAATAGGGAGGTAAACTAATGCATGGCCATCAAAACTGGCTAAAAATGTAGTACTCCCTCTGTTTCTAAATAAGTGTCACTTTAGCCTTTTAATTTTGTTTCAAAAAAGTGTTATTCTACAATCCCAATGTAATTTTGTACATTAAATCTATTTTTTACCCTTTTGAATAACCAATAGTATTTTACTTAAATTATTTTCATTTAATTAAACATACATTAAATAGAGATATATTAATCTATTATACGATTTTCTTAATTTATGTGCAAAAAGTCAAAATGACACTTATTTAAAAACAGAGGGAGTATTTATTATTTCTAATCTATATTACTAAATCCAAAATACTTAAATGCTCGTTGAATTTTTTTGGTAGACATTAAATTAGATTTCTTAATTACCCTTTTAATGTATTGCTTAGATTTGTCAAAAAAAAAATGTATTGCTGAAAGGATGATGGCGAGAAATCGCATTAAATTATGGTTTATCGAAAACAAAGATATTGCCTTAAATTATAGTGTAAACTGACGAATTAACTAGTCATCGGTAACGTAATCTAACTAAAGTTACTAACCTAGTAGAATTGATGACTAAAGTTTCTGCCAAACTCTACTACACAGAAACTTTCTGCCAAACACTAATTACAAAGTACCTAATAATAAATTCAGAATCGTATATTTTCAAACAAAAAGATTGAAAATTTTAGTGTAATCTAGTTATAGTTTTTAATTTTAGTTTTTACAAAGTTTGACTATTTTATGTGTACAACCAAAAGCCTCAATTAATTTTAAATGGCATCAGTTGATCTTCTCATGCCAATATGGGCTCCAAGCAGTGGCCCAATGTTCCCATCCAAAACCGATTTAAAGTCCAAAATCTCTAAACCGGTTTTCAAATCAACCACCATCTTCTGACCTTTAGAGACATACAACCTGGTTTCTTCTACTCTCCATGGCTCCAAAATGTTCTTGCTGTTGATTTTATAAACATCTGAAACCTTTTGTTCTTTTGCTATCACAAGCAGTTTTGCCTTTAACCGGTTTAAAGCTTTAATCCTATTTGCAAACCGGTTTCTTTCTCCTGCATCAAAACACATCTCATATCATAATCTTGCACAAAATGCAGTAAACCAAAGTGTAACACAACTCAAGAATACCTGAAGATTCTACAGTTATGCCACTAGGAAGATGTTGAATACGAACCATGTGCTCAGCTAGTTTATGATTCTCTTTTGCAGGATATGTTACAACCAAATCCTCATCCTCTACTTCAAAATCAGGAGATGCTCTCAAGAATAAAGGTATGATTTCTACAGAGGCTGAACAAACCTCATTGGAAGTAGAGCTTGTGATAAGACGGTGCACTCCCCTCTCACCTAAGAGATAACCATAAGCAAACTCGAATTCAAACTCTATTGTGGCTGAACTTACACCATTTTTATTGCTCAAAGTCTCAGCCACTCTTGCATTTTGGCCTAGCTTCTCGGCCCATTTGATGTACATGCTTACAACTTGTTCTGTCCACATCTGCAAATCCTCAAGAAATTGTCATAAAGAACATAAAGAAAGTTAAGACAGGAAGCTTGTTTAAGAACTGTTGAAACTGACCTGAGATTTTGTGTCATGAGAACCAGAGTTGATAACCATACATGCGCCTTCAACGTCATACTGATCACTAAGAAGCTTAGACATCTCATAGTGATGCAAAGATCTGCTTACATCTAGGGATGAATCATAAGCTTGCTCAAAGAGACTGTAGTCTATAGCATCCATCTCATCCAGTTGTATGATTAGCTTAGCTTCTTCTGCCTAATCAACAAAACACATTCAAAACTAAACCTCTAGCAACATAAAAAAAAAAGGGGGTTCTAAATCAATCTAAATTGGTTAAATTAAACAATAAATTGCAAATCCACAAATTTGTCTAGTTTATTTTTTTTGGTATATGTAACTTTTCTAATTCATCAAAATAATTTTATAATTAAACCATAAAACTAAAATATCTAATATAAATGTAAATAATTTAACAAAACAAGAAGATTTGTTTGAAGTAAACAAAAAAAAAAGAACCTTGTACTTGAGGTCTTTGAGAGTATCAACTGCTTTGGCACGAGCAGCTAATTTAAGAAAAATCTCATCAGATTTGGTAGGATCATCCCATAAGTCACAGTAACGCAATGTCTCTTCTTGCTTTATCCATTGCTCTTCTTCTAGCTCAAGAGCATCAGGTGCTAACATCTCAGCCTTAAGAACAACATCTTTGATCTTCTTCTTTAGTGAAAACAGTCCTGACACCAAATTTAAAAACAAGATTTTACAATAAATACAAACAAAAACCAAAGCAAAATATTCACTAAAAAAACAAACTTTTCAAGAACTTAAAAGGTCTCAACTTTATCTGAAGAGTGAAGACGAGAGACAAAGAGAGATAGATACCCAATTGCTTATAGACAGTGTCCATGTCATCCATAGAATGAGAGGACCGAACAGAGAAGAGAAGAACTCGAGATGATGATGTTCTCTTGTCCAGGTTTCTTGAAAATCGCCGCCATGAACAGCCTCCGCATATAATTTTTGCCGCCATTTTTGCTCACCGGAGCTCCGACTATGTTATCAAATGGGGGTTTAAGCTCAGTTCTTGTCCGTGTGATGGGTCTCCACAACCTTATCGTCTCTGTTCTAAAAGTTTGAGTCTTTTACGTGTTCCACGTATTGTTTGAAGTAGGCCTGCTGATTTTGTCCAAACCGAACCAACCAAACCGATCCAAAAATTTCGGTTTTCGGTTCGGTTACTGTTTTGAGTTTGTTTTAATTCTGTGGGATTTTGAAAAATAATTCGGTTTTCGATTCAATTCATTTTTAGTTCTTTTAAAAAATAATGAAATATAAATAATTGAAAAACCATAAATCAACAAAAATAACCCAGCAAAATTAACCAAACTAATCAAAAATATTCAAATTTATCCGAATTCTAAAAAATTTACCAACATCCTATCAAAAATTTGATTATTTAACCGGATCTCGTGGTCTGGTGGTAAAGAAATCTCGGCTGAGATGTCCGCCATCACGAGTTCGGGTCCCGGCCACAGTGGATTTAACATGATTTTCGTTTGGCCTCCATGACCTTTCTCGTCAGTTCCGGTTGGATGCGGTGAGATAGTCGGATTAAGTGAGAGGTCCGGATACCTGGATTATAAAAAAAAAAATTGATTATTTAAGAAAAAAATCTAAAAAATAGAATTTAACCAAAAATCGAATTGATTTTGTCGGTTCAGTTTGGTAGTATTGTGATCGAACCGAAAAAATACCCAAACCGGATAAAACCGAAACCGCAGGCCTAGTTTGAAGGGTGTTTACGTAATTGTCCGTAGGGTTTAGACTGAAAACTCGGTGAAGTTTGAAGTACATTGAAAGTCCGGTCCGAGATAATACGCTGCGTTTTAACTCTCAACACTCTGATTATCCTCTCGACGGATAGCTTAGTGATACAACTGAAACGAAAATGGTGGTTTTGATTTCAAGTGCAGTGAAAATTTCCAGAATAAACCTTAAAGACGGAAGCTTTCGTGTGAACCGGTTAATACCCAAACCGGAAGTACAATTTTTCTCAGGTAAATTTTCTCTCTTTGTTGAAAACTTGAAATTCTAAAGACTTTTCTCGTTTTCGTGATTGGTTTCTGAGGAAAGGCTGAACCTTTTCAATAGGGTTTAGTGAGACGAAGAGGAAGAAGACATGTGCAGTTTCGGTTAAGTGTTTAGCTGTGAAGAAAGAGCGAGTTGTTGAAAGCGTGGAGAGAGTTAAAGGAACAATCTTTCCCAAGAAAGGAATCATGAGTGAAGGTAGAGATGAAGATGAGGAGTATGGGAAGCTTCTTTGTCCAGGTTGTGGTATTTTTATGCAGGATAATGATTCTGACTTGCCAGGGTATTATCAGAAGAGAAAAGTCGTTATAAAGAGCTTAAAAGATGTGTCTGAAGATGAGCTTGAGGGGTTTGAAATGGTTGAAGATGATGATGATGAGGAGGAGGAGGATGTGGATGATGGTGATGACATCACAAATGTATTAGAGTCTGAAAGTGAAGATGAGTTTGATTGGGAATCAAATGAATGGGAAGAGAAGGAAAAAGGAAACTCTGTTGAGCTTGATGGTTTTGCTCCAGCTGGTGTTGGATATGGTAATGTAACAGAGGAGATGATGGAGAAGAAGCGTGTTTCGAAATCAGAGAGGAAGAAGTTAGCTAGAGAGGAAGCCAAGAAAGAGAAGGATAATGCTGATGATGTGACTGTATGTGCTCGTTGCCATTCTCTAAGAAACTACGGCCAAGTGAAAAACCAAGCTGCTGAGAATCTCTTACCTGATTTCGATTTCGATAGAATGATCTCAACTAGACTTATAAAACCAATGAGCAGAAACTCAAGCACTACTGTTGTAGTCATGGTTGTTGATTGTGTGGACTTTGATGGTTCTTTCCCCAAACGAGCAGCGAACTCTTTGTTCAAGGCTCTTCAGAAGGCTGAGAATGATCCTAAAGTAGGCAAGAACCTACCAAAGCTGGTCCTTGTTGCAACGAAAGTAGACTTACTCCCATCACAGATTTCACCAGCTCGGTTAGACCGATGGGTTCGCCACCGTGCCAAGGCAGGAGGAGCGCCTAAGCTGAGTGGTGTGTATATGGTTAGTGCTAGGAAAGATCTTGGTATCAAGAATCTATTGGCTTACATCAAGGAGTTGGCTGGTCCTAGAGGCAACGTGTGGGTTATTGGAGCTCAAAATGCAGGGAAGTCTACTTTGATTAATGCATTTTCCAAGAAAGATGGTGCAAAGGTCACAAGGCTCACGGAGGCTCCGGTTCCTGGAACAACTCTTGGGATATTGAGAATTGGTGGAGTGTTGTCTGCAAAGGCGAAGATGTATGATACTCCTGGTCTTTTGCATCCTTACATTATGTCTCTTAGATTGAACTCAGAGGAGCGGAAGATGGTGGAGATTAGGAAGGAGCTTCAACCTCGGTCTTACAGAGTCAAGGCAAGCCCTCTTTTACTTATATATTTGGTTAGTTCGGGTTGTTCGGTTCGGGTAGTTCGGTTTTTGGATAGTTCAGTTCGACATAAATCTTACCGAATTAACCGAAAATATTCTTTATCCGGTTAGTTCGGTTTTTGAAAATCTTACCGCAGTTTTGTATTTCGGTTAGATTTTGGTTTAGTTGTGATAAAATTGCAGATAAGTTTGGTTATTTTGGTTAGTTCGGGTCAAAATTTAGTTCGGTTCGGGTTTTCGATATGGTTGGTTATAATTTTCTCTGTGGAAAACAACAAAGTAACCGATTGCTGAGCTGTACCAAAAACCGATTTTTTTATAAAAGAACTACTGAACTGAACCAATCTCATAACCAAACTAACTAAAAATTCGGTTCGGTTTGGTTCACAAATCCCAGGCCTGGCTTCTTCTAAGCAAGTGAACTGTTCCAAGAAACAATTGACTTGAAACTGTTTTCTTATTCCAATAACTAAGCTGAATCTTCATTTTGCAGGCAGGACAGTCTGTTCACATTGGTGGCCTGGTCAGGCTAGACCTCGTTAGTGCTTCCGTTGAAACAATATACATAACAGTATGGGCATCACATAGTGTATCACTGCATCTAGGAAAAACAGAAAACTCCGAAGAAATACTCAACTCCCATTCCGGTTTACGCTTGCAGGTGAGTTAAAACTCTACCCTAAACCATCTCACCGTTTTCCACAAACATCAAAAATTGTGACTGAAAACCCATTTTTATTTGTTAATATAGCCACCAATAGGAGAGAAGAGAGCGTCTGAATTGGGAAACTGGGAAGAGAAGGAGATTAAAGTGTCAGGAAGTAGCTGGGAGGTGAAAAGCATTGACGTTGCAGTAGCTGGTCTTGGCTGGTTTTCACTTGGTCTCAAAGGTGAAGCAACATTAGCATTGTGGACTTACCAAGGGATTGATGTGACCTTGAGAGAACCATTGGTTATTGACAGAGCACCGTTTCTTGAACGGCCTGGCTTCTGGTTGCCGAAGGCCATCACAGAAGCGCTTGGTACTTATTCTAGTAAGCTTGATGATGCTCGTAGGAGGAAGAAGCAACAAGACAGCACTGATTTTCTCTCTGATGTGTAAGAAGATCTAGTGCTTGTTACAAGTTACAGATTAGCTTACATCAGTGTAGTAGTCACCATGGAAATAAAATTTTCGCTCTTCATTCTTTTGAAATCAAGTTCACATTTTGGATTTGTGGCTATCTTAAAAGTATGTTCAAATCATTCTAGAAGGCTAGAAGTTCAAACTTGAATCTGAGATTGTTTATAGAAATACTTAAAAAAGGGAGAAAAATAGTATGCTCCCTTAATTTCAGAATGTTCTGTTTTTTTTTTAATAAAAAAAATGGGCAAATTTCAATTCTACTACAATATTTTTCAAACTTACCACTAATGAATAATTATTTTTCTAAATTTACTAAATTTGTGATAAAATAACACTAAACTATTTTAAAAAAATATATTTATAGAACATTTATAAACTCAAACACGATTTTAATACCAAACACTAAACAATAATCACTAAAACATAAATTCAAATGTTAGTATATTTTGTATTGATGGTATTTATTAGAAAAAATGGCAATTAACATGTGGTATTTCTAACATTTTTTTTTTAAAACATAATTTTTCTACATTTTAATAAAAAATTATATTGTAAATTTCGTTGACAAAAAAAAATTGTGAATTTAAAATAAATTAATTGTATGTATTAAATTTCACTAAACTAAAATTATTGTAAATTAGTTATTAACAGTTTTAATTTACATATTAGTATTTAATTATGAATTTTTTTATTTATTAAATACTTAATGATTGAGAGGAGGCGTTGTATAGCCTTTAGCGAAAGAAAGATCTCTCTTTTACACATGCTTTCGTCATCTTCCTTCTCCGGCAACAGTTTCTCTCTGTCTAAATTCCGACATCCTCCTTCTCTTTTATCCAATCCCTGACCTAATCTCAATTCAATGGATTGAATAACTGCAATTTCTCTCCCCCTCCCCTCCTTAAAGTCGCAGACTTTTGTTGAGTTTCGGATTGTTTCTCCATAGTACCGATCGAAAGTTAGGATCTTTTAGGGTTTTGGAAGATCTGTCAGTGTTCTTAGAGCTGTAATGAATAGACAATGTAGGATTTGGTTGCCTAAGCTTCTCTCATCATCTGATGATTCCACTACTCACAACAGTCTCTTGTTTGGATGGTTCGTGTCTCATCACTCCTCTTCTTGTCTCGACGTTGTTGTCGCCTTCATCACTGATGAAACATCCTTGTCCGGATCTAGTCTCCAAGTAACAAACTTTAACTTCAATTCTCTAACATACCCTTTTTGTCTCTAGCATTTTTGATAAAAACAACATTGTGAATCTGTAACAGGAAGTACTCAATGAAACTAATGAGAAGATGCCTTTGTCTTTACGGAATAAAGCAGCCTTTACGCTTCTTGGTCGTTATGATACATGTCTTGGTGCTAACGGAAACGCACTCAAGAATGTAACAGATGAAGATTTGTACAGTAAGGTCGAATCTAATGATGGCTTATTAGAGGATTTGAGGAAAGATTCTGTGAGCAGTTACTGGATTCATATGGTGAATGATTCTTCTTCGGAGCATGGGATTAGAATGCATCATATACATTGGAATGGCGATATTGTATCTCAATGTGATGTACACGTATGTAAGTTCATGATGTCTTTCTCCTGTTACTACTCTTTTTTTTGAATTAATCTATGCATCGCTGTGCTTGACTTTATTACATGGACATGTCAGGTTATAGTCTATGAAACTCCAGTTTTTGGTTCTCACCATTTCTCGTTAAGCTTTTGGAATGCTTCTCCTCAGATTAAAGCTCCTCTTAAGAAACCAAATTGGGTTGGTGATCTTCACAAGAGGCAGCCTCTGATTGAAATGGTTGAGTACTCTCTTTGTTGTGTTGTTACTTTCTAGACTTATTGCTGATATTATATTCTTCTTATGTAAGCAGGAAACTGTGATTCTTTCCATGAATTGCGCCGCATCTGCTGAGTTAACCTATAAGAAGCTATCCACGTATCTGGAGACTTCTTCTCGGAAGTTTTCAGTTAGTTACCTGTAAGCTCTCATGCTTGTTCAGTGCTTTCCTCTATCTTTGTTGTTAGTTGTCTTAACTGCTTGTATCTTACTTTTCAGGATGTCTACTTGTGTATGGTGGTTACTCGCCACGCTTATAAGCTCTTTATCAAGTCTATATTACAGCCTTATCAAGCTCTTCAATGTACTTTCAAGTTTTTCAATCTTCTCATGGGTGCGTATAGCATCAAGGAGGTTACTCAAGAATACATGGATCAACTTTAGAATACGCAGTTGTCAGATCTTATATTGGCCAATCTTCCTTCAAGAGAATGACACTAGGTCCATATCCTGTGTGGAAGATGCAGAGAAAGCTGCACGGCATAGACATTCTACTTGGTCAGCCATGGCTGTTGATCTTGTTTTAGGGAACATGATTGGTCTAGCTCTAATGTCTAACACCGGAGATGTCTGCTCGTGGTTATTCCACTTTACAAAGGAATTTACCAACGATATTTTAAGATCTGGTTGTGTGTGGTTGATGGGAGTCCCAGCAGGGTTTAAGCTAAACACAGAGTTGGCTGGAGTTTTAGGCATGGTGTCTCTTAATGTAATCCAGATATGGTCTACTCTCTGGATCTTCATAGCTTCTTTCATATTTTATTTGATAAAAGCAATCGCCGTCATGGGAATCACCTTTGGTGCAACAGTGTCTGCTGCATTTGTCATAGATGTCATCACTTTTGCAACACTTCATATCACTGCTCTTCACTGGGCAATCACACTTGTTTATTCTCACCAAATTCAAGCTTTAGCAGCTTTGTGGAGGCTTTTCAGGTAAAATCAATGTTTATAAATCATTTCATTACACTGATAATTAGTACTCTGCTGAAATGGTATCTTTGTTTCTTTAAACATCATCTTGAATGATTCTTTTGTTCATTCAGAGGAAGAAAAATGAATCCTCTACGTCAAAGGCTGGACAGCTATGGTTACACTGTGAAGCAACATGTAGTGGGATCTCTTCTGTTCACTCCTCTTCTGCTTCTCTTGCCAACAACTTCTGTTTTCTACATCTTTTTCACCATTACAAGCACTACAATCAACTCCATTTGTATGTTTATTGAGTTCGCCATCTCTATCATCCATGCAACACCGTATGCAGAGATTATGATCTGGCTTGTCAGGCGTCGAAGATTCCCTTCTGGTGTTTGGTTTGAAATTGAAAACTATAGAAAGAATATCCACAACTCATCCAGTGATCCTCTAATGGTTTCCAATCTCCGCAGCAACTTTTTAAGCATAGGTGTGAGCTCATAGTTTCATCTGTATGCTCTGTTATGCTTATGTAATCTTTTGCTGACATGATATGAAACATGTTTTGCTTGCAGGACAGATTCTTTTGCCTCATTATACAACAATGTTTTCAGGAATATCAGCTTCTTCTCTGACTACATCAGCTCGCGGAGTCCTCAGTGGGAATAGGTGAATTAGAATAATGATAAACCACAAGTTTTAGCCTCTCTCACTACCTCTCTTTTTAATTTATTTACCTTCTGGTCATCTTTCCAGAATGCCATCGAAACTGGGGCTTGATCTCCCTCCTCCAAGGCCATGGATGCACTTGCCGTTGAGACAGTACTGGATCCTTTGCCACGGTTCCATCATCTCATCCTCAGAAAAAGGTGAGTTCTCACCTATCTCAGTTAATAGTTAATTCTACTTGTCAACAACAATTAGATTAGTCCTTATATCTTATAAGTTTGTATATCAGCATTTGAGGTTTTTAACTGAATAGATTATAGCACCAAGAATGGGTTTAAGCAGCTTGTAAGGCATAAAGTATTGAGTTTCTTATGATTTGTTATTGCATACTAGACTGTTTAGATAGTAAATAAATCATTTTAGAATAATATTCAGCATCTTCTTTCAGGTTCTAACCATGATTTGTCTCATAGGAGTGGTCAGACTTCTTAGCTAAACCGTTTCAGGTAACCCATATATTGTTACTCTCATCACACTTTTGTCAAGTCTTTGTTGCTGAGTTGAAAAATGAAATAGGCTGATCTTCTCTTATGATGACAGACAAAAGTATGATCTTCGTTTATGGATGCTGCTAATGAAACGATCAGAGTCTGATTAGCTATGTCAGTGCTTGTAGAGAGAGGAGCTCGAGGATAAGAGAAGTTATTTGTACTGATGTTTGAATCCGTTGATAGTTTTTTAACTGTTGCTTAGCTTTTTGTTTACTTGGCGGTCTTGGCTCATTAGTAAGTTTTCGTTTGGTAGTTGCGGCTAGTTACTATTGTTACGGATCTGAACCAATATTTATTTATTTGCTACTTGGAAAGCCCATGGTAGAGATTTTCTGAAATGGACCTTTAATTTTGCTGGGCCTGGTTTATACATACTATAGGTTATAAATTATATTTTTGTAAAAATATTGCTATTTTTTTTAACGAAGTCTTTGTAACATTTGTAACTTTGATCGAGAGGAGTCGGCATTGCATTCAGAGTTGGAGGCACTGCGGTGGGCAATGGAGAATATGCTTCAACATTCGCCATGTCAGAGCTTTGGAACTGATTGCAAGGAGATGATCGAGATGCTCAGGAACCCTCATGCCTGACCTAACTTCTCAACTGAGCTGGAGAGATTGGAGACGTTGAAGATCTGTTTCCCTGACTTCAAGATCTTTTATGTTCCTAGGTTACAGAACAGTGTTTCTGATTCTTTAGCTAAGACAGCTAGGGCTTTTTACCGTAAGCTTGTGTTCGTTGGTTGTTCTATTCCGGTCTGGATTCCCAGACCACCTCATGTTGCTTGAGTAATAGATCAGCCGTTTGATGTCAAAAAAAAAAAAAAAAAATTATATGTGTTTATATTCATTTAAAGATGTTACTAAAATTTTAATTGATTTTACAATTTCAAATTATAATTCAATTTAAATGTAAATACAATTAAATAATATATATATATATCTTATTATTCTTTTGTAAGTTATTTGAAATTATAAAAACTATTTAATATATTTAAAACTAATAAAAAGAAGCAAACACATTTAAACCTAATCATTTACTAAACTAATAAAATTAGATTATATGATGAGTAAGATATTGATAATTTATTTGAAACCATGTAAAAATATATGTATAGTCAAATATGATTACAATACAACGTTAAGAGATTATTTCCACTAAGACTGGACAAATAAACCGAATCCGAAACCCGAACTGAACTCGACCCGATAAAAATGAATCTGAACCCGATATAAATACTGAATGAATCTTGTTTTATGATATTTCAGGTTATGGGTATTATCCGAACCGAACCCAAACCTAAATGGATATCCGATAGAACCCGAAACATTCAAAATTTCAAGAAAGAATTTTTACCAAACATGATTTCAATTCCTAATATATAGCCAAAATACATTAAGATATTATTAAACATCTAAAATAATTATTTTTTACATGAAAGTTGATGATTGTAGATGGCGGTTGAAGTTTGACGTTTTTAGATTTTGGCTTTATTTTCACTGAATAATGTTTCTCATTTCATGAGAACTTGGTTTTCGTTTTATGTCTTCATTTATTTGGTTTTCTTTTTATCAGTAACCGTGTTTACCTTTCGTTTGATTTTGAATAATCACGTTTGATGTTCTTTTCTTAATTTTGAATCAATTTCACTTATGTTTTGGTTATAAAATAGGTATAAATCATGTATTTTAAATTCGAAGAAATCGATTTTACTTGTGTTTTGGTTACAAAGTAAGTATAAATCAGATATTTTTAAACCAAAAAACCGAGTGGGACCCAAAACCGAAAGTACAATGGGTTATACCGGTTCTTTAAAAATTTATTAACCCCGACCTGCACCCGATAGAACCCGAACCGATCCTGAACCAAATTTTCATATAACCCGAATGGGGCTGATTTTGAGAAACCCAAAATACCGAAACCCAATTGGGACCCATAACGCCCATGCCTAATTTCCACTAACATGTTTTTTGGGTAAATTACACATGTATTTTTTTCCTTATTATTTGTATCTTTTATAAAATTATATTTTTCCTATATATCAATGGTAGATCCAACTATATAGCTATGAAATCTCTATTTTCTAGAGAAATCTGGACAACTAAGGGATCAAAATTCTTTGATATTCATCATATATCGGTGCTGGATGCAGCTATGCATAAATACAAAAATTTCATATTTTTCTAATTATCTTGAAATGTGTGGATTAATCACACTATGAAAAGAACAAGTTTTTCAGATAAATTTTATTTATACTTAAGTTTAGCCTTTTTAGTGTTGTTTAAAATATCTAACCACATTAAAATTTATACTAATGTATCCTAAATTTATTTTCATGATACACGGGCATAAGATATAATTTTTCAACGAGTAATTTAATAATATTTCATATACCATGTAAATCAAAGAGCTAAACCCTATGAAATCTCTATATTCTAGAGAAATTATGACAACAAAGGTGTCAGATATCCTTGATCTGCATCCTATATATGTGTTGAATGCATCTATACATTAAAAGAAAAGTATCATTTTTATAATTTATCTTACAATCTATAAGTTAATCCCTACAAAAATATGAAGTTTTCCGTTAAATGATATTTACTGAAGTTTAAGCTCTTTCATGTTGAATAAAAAATACCTAATCACATTATAAATTTATATAAATGTATGTTAAACTTATTTTTATGGTACGTGAACATCGTTTCTAATATTTAAGTGAGTAATGTAATAAAAATTCATATTCCACCTAATTCAGTGGACTAATCCCTATAAAATCTATAATTTCTGGAGAAACGAGGAAACACTTAAGGTCTCAACCCTCTTTATTCTCCATATTATGTTAGTGCATGATGCAATAATTCATTAAAACAAAATATGATATTTTCTAAGTTATCTTGAAATATGTGGATTAACCCTACAAAAGTATTGAGTTCTCCGATAAATGTTATATATATATATATGCCTCTTTAGTTTTGATTAAAAATAACTAAAGATTCAAAATTTATATTAATTTACTAAACTTATGTTCATGGTACATACACATCAGTTTTAATTTTCAACCGGGGAATTTTATAAAACTCTATATATCACCAAAATTAATGAACTATACCTTATAAAATCTCTATTTTCTAGAGAGATTTGGACAACTAAGGTATCAAAACTCTTTAATATTCATTCTATATCAGTGTTTTGTGCACCTATGCATAAATAAAAAAATTAGATTTTCTAATTTATTGTGAAATCTGTGAGTTAACTGATAAATTGTATTGGTACTTAAGTGGTATTGGTACTTAAGTTTAGAAATTTTCTGATAAATGGTATTGGTACTTAAATGGTATTGGTACTTAAGTTTAGATTATTTAGTGTCGTTTAAAATAGAAATTTTCGTTTAAGTTTAGATTATTTAGTGTCGTTTAAAATATCTAACCGCATTAAAAATTTAACTAATGTATCCTACATTTATTTTCATGGTACAAGGGCATCAGTTATATATTTTCATTGAGTAATTTAATAAAACTTCATATACCACATAAATCAAAGAACTAAACCTTATAAAATATCTATATTCTAGATAAATTAGGACCACAAAGGTGTCAGACATCCTTCATATTCATCATCTATCTATGATGGATGCATCTATGCATTAAAATAAAATATCATATTTTCTAATTTATCTTGAAATCTGTGGGTTAACCCCTACAAAAAGATCGAGTTTTCTGATAAATGTTATATACTGAAGTTTAAGCTATTACATGTTGATTAAAACCTAATCACATTATAAATTTTATTAATGTTTGTTAAACTTATTTTTACGATACATAGGCATCATTTCTAATAATTTAACGAGTAATTTAATAAAACTTCATATTTCACCTAATTATGTGGAGTAACCCCTATCAAATATGTATTTTCTATAGGAATATGGACAAATAAGATCTCAGACCTCTTTAATTTTCATCACAGGTCACTGCATGATAAAATCATATATTTAAAAAATATTATATTTTATAATTTATCTTACGACAATATCGAGTTTTTTCCAATAAATATTATATATACTAAAGTTTAGACTCATTAATATTTTTTGAAAAATAAATGACCGCACTATAATGCATATTAGTGTATTATAAACATAATTTCATAGTACGTGGACATCATTTCTAATTTTCCAACGAATAAGTTTTTTAAACTTCATTTACGATCTGATTAGTGTACTAATCCCTATAAAATCTCTATTTTCTAGAGATATGGGAACACCTAATGTATCAAAAATATTTAATATTAATAATATGCCAGGACATGATGCATCTAAAAATTAAAACAAAAATTCTATTTTTCAAATTTATCTTAAAAAATATGTGGGTTAACACCTACAAAATATTGATTTTTTTTTATAAATACTATCCATACTATTTAGTGTTGTTTAAAAACATGGAATCACGCTCCAAATTTATATATATGTATGATAAAAATTTTTTTATGGTACATGACATCATTTCTAATTTTTTATGAATAATTTATTTAAACTTCAGATATCATCTAATAAGTGGACTAACTCCTATAAAGCCTCTATTTTCTGGAGAAACGAAAACACCTAAGGTCTAAAATATATTTAATCTTCATACTATGCCAGTGCATGATGCATCGTGCATTAATACAAAATATGATATTTTCTAATTTATCTTGAAATATGTGGGTTAACCCATACGAAAATATGTGGGTTATATATAGGCCTCTTTAGTTTTAAAAAAAAAAATACCTAACCACATTCAAAATTTATACTAAACTTATGTTCATGGTACATGTGCATCAGTCTTAATTTTCAACCGAGGAATTTTATAAAACTCCATATACCACCAAAATTAGTTAACTAAACCTATAGAATCTTTATTTTCCAGAGAAAATTGAACAACTAAGGTATTAAAATTCTTAAATATTCA